TACATAATATGTATGTGATAATAATCATACACATATTCACCTTTGAGAAAAGGTATTGTATATTTAAGGGCCTTTATTATTGACTATTGCCCCCTCTGATAACGCAAATAGTCCATAGTAAACTCGTCGTCCTTTAGAAACTGTAGATAACAGTTAATCGTGTAAGAACAAACGTATAAGAAGTAACCTATTATCACTTAATCTTTCATCCTTCATTGTTGAAGCCAGCAGTAAGTAAATGACTGACGCCCACTATTACCACAGACAATATATTCGTTATATATTCGTCACTCACACCACTTAAGTCAACATTTCTTTTAAATCGAGTATTTACATAAGTCGGTATGTTTCCTTCGTATTTTAAATTTTGTTGGATAGAGTAAACAAATTTTGTTCAAATATTTATATAATTTCATAGTTTATGCGTAGATTTGTATAAATATATCCACGTGCCCTAATGTATAAATGCTTTAATATTTCGTTATAGATTTTTTTTTAGATAAGGTACAAACCTGTCAGCTGACAAAGCCTAAAGCTTATAGTGTTAATGATGTATCAATGTGCAGACATCCAAATTTACAATTTCCATATATAGATATATATATAATATAGATTTATACTTTTTGCGGAGATTTCCCACGCCAAATATGATAAAATATGTTGGATAAAGTAAAGTATACCTATTCATGTACTTAGTGTAGGTATCCACGAACATTAGTATTTTCAAATAGGCACTAACAGTTTTTATTATTACTTAGCATAATTATATTTTTAATAATGCTTTCGCACATGACAGACTAAATCGGTAGCAAAACTAGATCTATAATGTTAATAGGCATTTCTGATATTACCAACACGGATATTATAGTAGTTCACGGATGTAGATAAACTAATAAACAGCATAACTCGTATGAATGTCGACGTCAACTTAACCAAGTAGTACAAGTACTATGCTTTTAAACAATTAATTAATTAAGTAATTAAGTTAATGTTTTCAGTCATCCGGAAGAGCAGAACAAATTTGGAAATGTACTATCACTATGGATTACTTACCTATTATTAGATATTTTGTGCCATCACTATTAATATGAACCACTTACCTAAGTATATAATGTATATATTGTATTTATTCTTTAGTTAGAAAGAGAAAATTACTAGGAATACTAAAAACTGGTAGATTTACGTCATGTACGCTGTTTATCTATTCAGACCCGGTGTTTGAGTTTTATTTTGCCTTCGACTCATTATATACCAGTTCCTTTAAGTATGAGAGTTAAATACCTTTATTTACCACTAGCTGACTCGCGCAACTTCGTCTGGATCATACTATTCCCGTTTATGCAACAATTCTCATTCCAGCTCTGCTCCTATTGGTCTTAGCGTGATTACTAGTACTTTCTTTTCACAGGTCTTTAAGTACTGCGTAGAATATTAAAAATCAATATTTGATACGCTACATACAAAATTAATTTCATGTAGGTACTACCTACCTACCTCCACACAATCGCTTCATTTAATTTAACCGTATGTTTTGGAGTGTAAGCTTTTATTCAAGCATATGCTTTAATTGTAACAAGTACATTATTTTTATACCATTACATTTTATATTTTATAAGAATTGATTATGTTTTTGATACCTCGCAGTTTTGTTACGATTATGTACTAACTCGCATGGATGAATGGATAATGGCCTGTATCTGAACTAATTGCTTCTCATCCTCGTAACTTTCAAACTATTTATCTGAATTACTCGGTGTGAAGGACAAAGTTCACTAACTTTAAATACTATATATATATATATATATATATATATATATATATATATATATATATATATTTATATATATATATATATATATTATAAATTTATAAAAATTCGTGCTGGAGTTTTTGCTTGGATCACAAACACCCATACATACTCTCAAATTATTATTATTACAAATATTACTGCAGAGTTAATAATTAAGGCATGTTCTCTTGTTATCAAGGATTAATAAATATGTAAATATGTATTAATATATATGTTATATGATATGACACGGAATTAAACTTCCGATCTTTGGTGAGGTTTACAGTATTACGTCTTTGTTTGACATATACCTACATATACCAATGGTCTATATTGCGATAGCAATGAATCTTGCACTTAATCTAGATCTAGTCCTCTGGATTTATTGTCTAATGTCGAAAGCAAAAGTTCTATTGTTATCTAAGATTGTCTACTAAGAACACAATATGATACATTTTATGGCTACTTTAACCTGTTCATGGACATTTGTCGTAAAAGAAATTATTCTTATAGATTAGCAATTAATGTATTATTAAGAAATTTATGCAGATACATTTTTTGAAATATATTATAATTAAAATTGTGACCTTGCTCGGAACTAAAGAAATATTTCATGGAAATTTAATTAAAACAAATTAATTTAAATTTATCAAAATTCATAATATCATTAATATTTTATTATACATATGTATTCATTATATCAGTTACAGCTATCGGTTGCAGTGAACATTGCAATAGTATAGCTTTGTCAGCAAAGCCAAGGTATCTTTTTACATAGATATTTTCATAGGTCAATTACACTTGAGTAATTCTTGATAAGTAATTCTAACCTTTGGTAATGCAGTTATCATGTTTCGAAATATGCATGCGCATCATATTATCATATTAATGTTATATAAAGTGTATAAAATGGAAACGGTAACTGATATCACTCGATTACGTAACCATCTGCATGTTTATGTTGTACAGGGCCCTAATTGTAGTCTGAAAAACTTTTTGTTTAATGTATGGTCCATCACCATATTATTATTTACTTCATATTTCGTATCTTACTTTCACTACTAGTACCATGTATGTATTGTATGAAGGTAAGATTCAAATACTTTAAAATATTATAAAAAAGTATAAGTAAAAGTATCCGAATTTAAACTGTATTATCTATCTGTTGAGATTGAATGAAACACACAGAGCGACAGACAACAACTGTTTAATAAACGTAATCCGAGTTACCTTCAAGTACATACATTACACTATCTATGTAATAGTATAATCTGTGGCAAGACTTTCAATAAAATACAGTTTTGGCTTGACACTTTCTTCTTGGATACATGCCCGACCGAGTACTAAGAACTCTTTTCATTATTTAAAAACCCAAATACAATAAATCTACCTCAGAGCATTATGCTGTGACGTAACTCCACAACTATCTTACCTTAGTATTATAGAGAACTAGCTGTGCTCGCGGATTCACCCGCGTTATATTTCAATATAAAATATAGGCTATGTGTTTTTCTGATGCATAAGCTATATAGCTTATGCACATAGCATAGTTTACAGTTAAAGTTTCATCAAAATTCGTGCGCGTTTTTTTTTTTTTTGCGTGAAAGAGTAACAAACATGCATACTTACAAACTTTCGCGTTTATAATATTGTTAAGATTTTGTATACTGAAAAAGTAGCATTTATCTACGTTATTGTGACATTTATAAAATATATTTCATTTTGTGTTAAGATAATGCTGACCATATTTAACACTGACTTAAAACGCCAAGTACAGCCTAAGAATTAACACATGTCAATATTAACCTAGATAATTAAGCAACCTATGTATTGATATTTGTAGCCATTAATTAATTGAATCAAACCTGAATTTGCATATTCTTAATTATACATTCCTAAACAGCTTTTTGCATTTTTATGCCAAATCACTTGTAGCAATAATTATATTGGATATAAATACAGCATAGGAAGATAAATTAGGTAAAAATAAAAAAAAATCTATTTGTTCAGAGCCCTTGAATTGTAGATACTTAATCGTCACTTTAACGTAAGCACTAAGTTATATACCTAATTTGAGATAATTTTTAAGCATTCGGTTGAATATTTTGAGATCTTATAAAAATATATACCTTTATTTAATTATATGTATTATGAAAACAGTAATATTCAAAATTGGTCCAAAATTTGCAAGGTTGGTAGATGTAAAAAGTACTATGTAACATATTTAAATAATAAGATCCGTTTTACATTCATGTCAACATGTGTATTCTTGATATTATAATTTTATGAACTTCGATTGAGTGTGTGCGAATTGCATATCATATTATGCCAACATGGGTATTATACTAACTATAAACACGAATAAACGAAGGTAACATTATTACATTACTTTAATATTATTGCGTAATACATATTGCATTATTTGTACTTATATAAGCAGTAATATTCATTTGTTCATATAAAAAGAAACTCTATGCAAAAGCTAGATACTTGGAAACAAAATCAAGAGAATAGTAAATAATTTGACGGTCCATCTGATGATAGGGGTAACTGTCACCCATATAAATAAATAATTAACCCTGAACAATTAACACATCGCTATTTAGTACCAAGCTAAGCAGATCTTGTGATGGGTACTAGACATGTGATATAAATATGAACTTTTTTGTAAATACATAATATACATAGAAAACACCCAGACCGATCCAAACAACCATACTCGTGAATATAAATGATTGCACCGTGCGAGAAATCGAAACCGCGACTATCGGAGGTAAAGGGGCGTGCTAAACCGCTAGGCCGCTGAGCCCGTCAAATATATACATCAACAGCACTACAGTTAATATTATCATCATGTGATGTCCGTGATCCCCTTCATGCTAAGCCAGAAGACTCTGTTACTTCTTTGTATCTGTCATATTTCACACTTCAAAACAATACCTACACAAAGAAAGCCGTATGGAGGGTGACAAATAGACAAATAAACAACCGCATTTCATTTGTTTAATTGGTTTTAGCTATTATGCAACAAAAACTGTGTTCCATGTGCCTTGGAAGATTTAAGATGGGTAGATATATAGGCAGACTTGTTTCCACCTCTATGTTGTTGAGATTAGTAAATGTATCTGTGCAGACATAGAGTACAGAGTACCTGTTGGCTGTTGATACGTCCTAAGTCTAAAATTGAAATGTCAAGTAGGTATGTCAAATTATTATATGTGACAAATTCATGTAGCTGTAAATATTTGGAATGGATAAAAATAAAGAAAGTAAATCAAAATTACCACCATATCAGCATGGTAGACCAATTACTGGGATGTTACATCTCACCCGACCAAGCCAAGAGGAAAAAGCAATCGCAAATTCAATCGAACTACAATCAGTGAAAAAGGGAAATAACGCAGAACTAACTGGAGACAGTCAAGACTATGACGATAGAGGTGAAGCATTTAAATCAGAAATAGAAAGATTTATACAAATATCGAAGTACTTTTTAAGCCCTTTGCGTAAAACTGCTTCGTACATATGCGAAAATCGCCTCGTCTCATACCCTAATCCATACAGAATTCAATATAAACGCGGTGGCGTCACACAACAGAACATAAAATTCTGTAATCTCGTCTTGGAACCGGTATATATCAAGTTATATAAACTAGTGCCAGATTTAGAACAACTTAAATATATCAACTTGTCACTTTCGCGATCTAAAAGAGTCCCACCGGGTTTGTCGTTCAATTTGAGCTTCGTTTATGATGATGTTAATGAGAAGCCATCATGCAATGCTAAAATGATCTTTGTGGCATCAAGAAAAACTACTACGCCGTGCTATCAAATATGTGAAATAGATTTATTGATTGAATCTCAGAAAATTCGGTTAGTTACGCTTTGATTATTGGTGAAAGGAAAAATTAATAAGCGAGATTATTTCATCATTATTGGTACTTACATTTGTTCTATTTTTATTATACATATTTATAAATATTCAACAATTCTTTTAGAGATATTAATCGCAAAATAATACTTTTTGAGAAGCTATATGAAAATGGTGAAAATCAAGTGCACAAAAGTATGTAGTGGATTTGAGACAACTCTCCTCTTAGCGGTAGTCTTGATAAAAGATGAATTTTATTACCTTATATGAATTAATTTGATGATTTTTATATAAAAATCATTAGACGTATTAGTTAATATAATGAATAAATATCGTACTATCTAATTTATATTTATTATTTATAGCTTATTAATCAGTTTACTTTATAATAGAATTAATCTATGTAGTTAAACCACTGTATCATTATTTTATATTTGTATCTTAGCAAAGATATAGTACATTAAGTAGACGACGATGTAATAAGAGTGAGATATAGTTATTATTTCCATGAGAAATCAATTACAATAAATAGTTCAACGATTCATTACTATAAAATAGCAATGTAAAATAAATTTACGTAATTACGATGAACCCATCGTGACTTGCTGAATAGTGCTTGTTTATTTATTATACTTATTGTGATGAGGATCTCTTTTAGTTAATTAAATTGTAAAATAAATTCATCGTTACAAATAATGGATGACTTTTGCTTCTTACTGTGCAGTATCAATTTTGATAAATCTAACAATCCCATTTCACTTTATAAGTCATGGTAGTATACTTTTGAGGGAACGACTATTATTGAAGGATCCCTTTACAACAAAGTAACTTGGAATCCGTAGTTTCACTAAACTCTTAGTGACTCTTCTAACCCTAAAAATGGCTGTATAAAGATCGTGACAACAGCATTTAAGATGAAGAATTTTTTACTTACTTTACGTATTTTGTGGCTAGGCCTTACTTATAGTTATGTAGGTATTACACAAATTTGATATCTTACCTTAATTCGTTTAGAAGTTCTAGGTCGGTGACAGATAGGCAATGTTGATAGTACTGGATTCTACGTATTTCTATATTAGCGGTAAACTAAGGTCAGCGGTAAAGTAAGCATTGAGACGCTTCTTGTTTTCCACAGTACATACTGACGCTATAGATTCAATATATGGCTAAGTTTCGAATGCAAGGATAACATGTACTGGACGTAGTAATGACATATAATTTAGATTTAATATAGTACATAGGCGACGGAAAATACCGTCATCATAGTGTAATGTTTCGTAACTTAGTATTACTAATAATATAAAAAACAGTGCGTAGATATGAATCAGTAAGTTAAAACATATGTGGTTCGTCTGAACAAAACTTATTTTTGTAAGAGAATATTTTTATTGTATCAAATACGCATTATGTCATATTATTAGTAACTTTGAAAAGGAATAGTTTCTCCCCATTTATGCAACATTTCTCATCGATGCTCCTGTCCTATTGCTCGTTATATAGCTTAGCCTTCCTTTTTAAATGGGATATCCAAAATTAAAAGATCATTTCTATTTGAAACCGTAGTCCCAGAGATTATTAATCCACATAGCTAATCTAGCTTCGCTGTCAGAGTAGAATACAGCCTATGTCACTCACTCATATCTATTTATACTCCTATGTGAAACAATTTTTACATAAGATAAGTATTATTTGTATTAATCCATTAAAAAAATATTACATCTGCACTTGACTGGTAGAAAATACCGCATGGTGTTAAATCCGCCAAATGTACTGTACCTACTACATTTTGCATTGAAGTTTAATTAATTAAAAATAAAAAAAACAATAATTTTATAACATTATTATAGTTCTACTATGTATTCTACTTAATATATCAAGTATTACTTATATGCTTATATCATAGAAAAAATATGAATAAGTAACAGTCTTTCAATATCGATAATATTTGAACATTTTTAAAGGTAAAAGGTAGACCTACGTACAACACGATCTAAGCCACTTCATAAAAATAAATTATTTAAATACTTATTAAGTACACAGAATCATCAGAATTAGCTTTAACTATTGTGCATTGCGTTAGTTTTAGTATATTTATCTATATTTAATGTGTATGTATGTGTATATATGTATATATTAATTTATTTATTCAATATATATCTTGTATAGTTATTTATATGTATTAGTAAATTTAAAACAGCTCTCGCTGATACCCCACTACGCTTTTTGTTTATACCGTAAGGTTAGCTGGGACAGCATGCCATACGGCAATAAGCTCGCCTGTTGTACAAAAGTTTTTTTGTTCAATAAACAATAAATAAATAAGAGTATGATGTTAGATACAATGCGCCACGAGCTGTGCGTAATCCCTTTTGTCAGTAACTATAAGTATGTATTCGTAACAACATATCGGTGCCGGAAACCTGCTTTATTATTCAGGTAGCCATATTTGTGGTTGGAGTAGTACGGGTGTAGTCACCTATATGGAGCGAGGATATTATAGATTCAGGGGACTCAGCTGTTTTAAGAACGGTCTGTGTAGTAAAGTGGTCTGTGATAAAATTTTAGTTACCTCCATGGTACATGTCCCTTTGAATACTAATCATAAAAGACTGCGATATAATCAGCTCAAAACGATTTGCGTGAAACTATTTCCGTAAATCCGAATTGATCCAGCTTTTGAATGAAAGAGTAACATAACAAACTTCCATCTCAAAGTTTTGCGTTTTTAATGTTCCTAAGATTACACTCGAACATTAGTAATAGACTAGACACTTCCGACTTCCCGAATTGATCAATATATGATAGATAGATAATTTATTTATTGTCAACATAACTTAAATAATACAATTTACAAATATTACACAAAATAAGACATAAAAAAATAACATAGAAAATACAAATATCAACAACTTATTTTTCTTTTGATGGGCATACTACAACCTATTACAACCTACAACTTTTTTTTTTTTTTTTTACAAGGGGAAATCCGTCATGGAGACCCGCACGCTTCCCCCGGGGCGTGCGGGTCTCCATGACGGATTTCCCCTTGGTGTCCTCCGCTCGCTGCTAGCGCCAGGGTCACGGGATCGACATAGCAGTCCACCGCGACCCCGGCAGCGCAGGCTCTGCAGCCTCCTCCTCGAGTGGCGCGCGCGGACACCACCCGCGCCAACACCCAGCCGCACCCACCTTAGGTGACGGCAGACGCCCCCGCGTCTGCCGCCGTGAGGCCTGTACTTGGGGGCGACGGTCGCTGTTCCTCAGCTTCCATCGCCTCCACTGTCTCCGCTCGCACTTTGGCGCGCGGCGGGGAGCATTTGCTGCTACTACCCACCGCGTGGTCTGCTCGTCGGCCCGCAGCCGCACAATATGCACAGTGCGGTTTGCCGGTGCAAGACTTTGCCTTGTGGCCTTCCTTGCCGCACTTAAAACAAGCGCGGCTGCGGTCTACCGCCGACATGCACCGGATGCCTACATGGCCCGGCAGCAAGCAGCGGTAGCACCGCATCGGCTTCTGCTTCAGTAGCGCCACTGGCGCTGCCATCCAGCCTATCTTTAGGCGGCCCTGGTCCCGCAGCTTTTTCGCCGCAGCGATCGGGCATCGCACCCACACAGCACCGGCTCCAGACTCAGAGCGGCGTACTTCGCCAACCTTTATGGCAAACTCCGCACACCCTCCATCCTTCGCCACAGCAGCGACCATATCGGCCGGCATGACCGAGACGTCCAGGCCTCCAATACGAAGGTCGGCCGTTTTGACCGGCCTGGAGACCTGGATTACCTCCTCTGGTATGACTTCCCATAGCCTCTCGGCCAAGGAGTCTGCCATATCGCCGCTGGCTGCACCTGGGAGCTGCAGGATGCGAGCCCCTGTTGCCGACAGCCTGTACTGGCGGCAATGCCGAGTTCAGACAGATTTATCTTCTGCTGAGCCTCGCGCAATACCGCCGCATACGTCACGCCCTTCTCAGCCGCCTCCGGCTTTAAAGTGATCACCACCGCCGAGGAGCGGGGGAGACGCAACTTTGCAGCCTTCGGCGGACTAGATTTGGCCGCACCTTTAGCGGGCTCCTTCTTATTTTGGGGCTTGGAACCCCTCGACGCCACCGTCGTCCAGCCCTGCTCCTTGGACGTGGTCGCAGACGGCGGCGGTCGGACCTCCCTGGGAGCCTGAGGATTCTCCCTTTCCATGGCGGCCATCTTCTTCTTCTTCTTCTTTTTCTTCGACCCCCCTTTCGCCCCCGAGGAGGCAGCCGGGGGGGCCGAAGAACTGGCGCCCTGACTATTGGTCGATGGACCGACAGTGTCTTTCCCTGTGGGCGGCTGCGCCGGGAGGTTTCCCTCAATTCCGGCCAGACGGGCTTCGAAAAGGCCCGTCAGCCGCGCCACTATCCTCTCCTCCGAATCTTCTAAGGCCTGTACCCAGGGCACTTGTGCACCTGAGCTACAGGTCCTCGGCTTTGGGGCCCCGGGTGTAGAGAGCCCGGTGCCCCTGGCCGGTGCGTCCTGTCCTTGAGCGTCTACGGGTGCGGGGAGTCCAGCAGTCGCTGCCGCAGCTTCCGCCTTCCTCAGGTCAACCCGTAGTTGCACATTTTCCTGCGCCAACTTCTTATTTTCGGCTCGCCGGGCGGCGTCATTGGATTGGAGCTGAAGATTTTCAGCTCGCAATCTAGACACCTCCATTGTGGCCGTCCTGCGCACCAAAAACTCGGAAGCGTCGCGGATCATGCCCACTGCCTCCTTTATTTGTTTGACGACGGTGCCTTTGAGGTTGGTGGACTTCCTCAACATGTCCAAACCAACCTAGCACCGATCTCTATCCTCTCGCCGAGTATCTCCGCTGAGACTTGGATCTCGTCCTCGCTCTCGCCTGGATCCCCGAAGAGATGATGCCTCTCCTCGGGGTTCTGCCCATGCGTTGGGATCTGGGACATGACTTCCTGCGCCATCGCTAGCTGTCGTGTTCCAGTCCAATAAAGGGCTTCTCTCTCCGATTTTGAGTCCGAGCAGTGCTGCTTCCTCTTTCTCCGGCTGCAGGCCCTTTCGAACCTGATATCGCGCCCGTAATCGCCTAACATGCCCAACGAAAAGGCAGATGCCTCTGAGACATCGGACGCGGTATCCTCCACCTCCATTTCCCTTTCCCTCTCATGTCTTTTCTTTCCCCCTTTTCCCTTGCCCCCTGTATCCCCCGATTTCCCCCCCTTATCCTTTCCTACTGAGCCTTTCCCCCCCTCATTCCTTCCCCCTGTCTCTTTCCCCCCCTTACTTCCCTTTGCTGCAGACCTAGTCTGCCTCCTCTCCGCTGCAAGATCGCAGCCCTCTTCCTCCTCCACCTCCTGGCGACTTTTGCCCCCCCAGAATACAAGGGGCAGACCGGCCCCGCCGAATGCGGTGCGCCGGTGGAGGATTCTCCACCCGTTGAACGGGTGGTACCTCCCTGGGGTAAACTACTTTTTAAGTGCGCCATACCCATCTGTTTTCCTTTTTTAACGGGTGAGGTCCCGTACCTCCGCTCGTCGAAGAGAAGATGAAAACGAAAAAGGATAGACAACATAAAGACAGAAAAGACGAAAGACAAAACGAAACGA